GTGCTGATCAAAAGAAGCCTGGATTTTGTTTATATGAAATTCTAGAAAAGAAGACTAATCTCTAGTACCAGAAATCATTATCTGTGGTTACCTGAACCGAGGAGGGTTTCATTGCAGAAATACATGAAGAAAGTTTGGGGGGTGATGGATATTCTTCATGTTGATCGTGGCTGGTCATTATACAAGTATGTATTTGTCAAAACTCAAACTGTATGTAAAATTGGGTGCATTTTGTGTTGTATACAAGTTGTACTTCATAAATTTGGTTTTTTAGAAGTAAAAGAAACTGAAAACTCTAAAAATAGAATTTAGGCCACTTTGGATCACAACTAGAAAAATGTGTGAACTTCAGTTCTTAGGGATTTTAACTGTTCTAAATGATTATTGACTACAGAGGAGTAGCAGAATGTCATTCCCTTCAATCTTGCTCCCATTCCACATTGTGATTATGAGGGGAGTAGAGGGCATCAAAGTAGAAGGGAAACTATAATTGAAACTGCTTGGATCAAATATCATCTTGTCACCACCGTCATGCATATCAGTCCAGTTGGCTGCTACATTCTCTGTAGGCGTCTGAGGGGAGATTGAACTTGCTGTGTGAAGTCTGATGAACTTTGTGAAATCATGTAGTATTAGTGAAAGAGGACTGAAATGCTAATGTCTCTGTGGACCAATTATTTGGTTTTAGAAACAGTTGAAAATACAAGAAAATAACAGTAAACTTAAGTGGGGCTGTTGTAAATAGACTAGACTGATAAGCCAGGCAAATACTATGGCAAATGTAGCCATAGTATTTGAATTATAGCAAGGCATTTGAGTGATATTTCTCAGGATAATGTTGAGGAAAAGATCGAGAGATGCAACATGCATGGAGAATTCATCTAGGTTCATAACTGTATATTGATCATACCTGAAGCTACTAAGCTAGAAGGAGATTTTTGTATCATTTCTTTCTTGAATATGACTGGCACATTTACCGATAACTTAGATGAGGGCTTTGTTAGCACACTGGTCTTTTAAAACTTATTTTTTAGTGAGAACTAAAATTTTAATAAGCTGAAATTATAGGCCATGTCTATGAAATATGACATCTTATCCAACTCCAAAAAAGAGAGAGAGACATACAGATATAGGATGGGGAAACTGTTTTGTTGGAGCAATGCAAGAACAACTCTGTAGGCTTGTAACTGAATGTAATTTTAATAGGAGTCAGTACAGTGACTGTGGCTGCCATAATCAGAATAATGGCTGATAAAATTTTTTTTAACCCACCATAAGGAAGATGAAGGTGAATTTTATTTTTGTTTTGTTTTTAGATTCCACATATAAGTGTGATCATATGGTATTTGTATTTCTCTGACTTATTTCATTACGCATAATGCTTTCGGGGTCCATACATGTTGTTGCAAGTAGCAGGATATCCTTTTTTGTAGCTGCTTAATACTTGTGTGTGTGAGTGACATTTTCTTTCTTCATTCATGGGCACTATTGTTTCCATGTCTTTGCTATTGTGAATAACGCTGCAATAAACATGAGGATGCAGCTGTCTCTTTAAGATCGTGATTTAAATTCTTTTGGATATATACCCAGAAGTGGGATTGCTGGATCATATGATAATCCTGTTTTTAATTTTTTGAGGAATTGCACACTGTTTTCCATAGTGGCTGCACCAATGTTATGTTCTCTTCATCAGTGCACAGGAGTTCCCATTTTTGTACATTCTTGCCACCACTTGCTATTTCTTGTCTTTTTGATAATAGCCGTGCTAACAGGTGTGAGGCGATATCTCATTGTGGTTTTGATTTGCATTTCTCTGATGAGTATTGATGCTGGACACCTTTTGGCCATCTGTATGTGTTTTTTGGAAGAATGTCTGTTTTTTAATCAGATTGGGTTTTTTGCTAGTGAGTTGTACAAGTTCTTTATATTTTTTGGATATACCCTTATTAGATATATGACTTGCAAATATTTTCTCCCATTTGGTGTAGGTTGCCTTTTCATTTTGGTGGTTTGTGTCCTTTGCTATGCAGAAGCTTTTTAGTTTGATGTAGTCCCACTTGTTTATTTTTGCTTTTGTTGCCTTTGCTTTTGGTATCAAATCCAAAAAAAAAAAAAATCATTACCCAGACCATTGTCAAAGAGCTTGCTACCTAAGTTTCTTTTTCTAGGAGTTTCATGGTTTTAGGTTCAAGGAGAAAATTAAGATGAGAGTCACTCTAGTTTATGTTGATCAGATCAAATCTAGAGTATTGTATTTACTCTTGGGGCATCAGATTAAGCTATAAAAAAGAATGTTAAAAAGCTGAATCTTGGATAATAACTTGAAAGAAGTAGAAAGAACAGATTTTACTAGATGATTGCCCAGCTTTCAGATTAAATGATTCTGTAGGTGGATACTTTTTTTCAAGGAAAGAAACTCCCTAAGAGAAGCCTATCAAGAGGATATGTGTTCATCTGGTTTATAGCATGTTTTTCCTTTCCTGCTGCTTTTATAAACCTGTAAGGTTCTCTTTAACATCTTAGAAAAGTTGAGAAGGGGCTCCACTTTAATTGCCCTAAATAATGGATACACTTCTGTATCATCTGTAGTAAAGTTAATTTCTTCTTGTTCCCTTCCCTACCCTCAACCAGTTATGTGTCTTTTGGCAGCTTTCATTATAACTGATTGGTGCTTAGAAAATTATGTTTTAGTGTCAGCCTATATAGAATTATATAGGGTAGTAATGACTCTGGAACATTATATCATGTAGAGATACGGGGTATGATAACTCATTCCATTTTTCCATCTGGGGAATTTGAGTACCTTTTCTTTCTAACCATCCATTATACAGACCTGGATTTCTGCTGCTTCACGGCTTTTGTTGCAGAGATGTTACAGAAAGAGAATTGTTAAATGAAATAAAAGTTAGAAAAGTAGTTTGTAAACAATAAAGGATTACACAGGGATATGGTGGTGCTATTTCAAGTTGCAGCTACATACAACTTTAACTTATAGTAGATGTATGCTGTCCAGCTTCTACTAAGGTTGTATCCCTGGCTCAGTAATGATATTCATATCTTGCTAATTATCTAGTACTTTCCTGGTCAGAAATTTTTTCTCCTCAACCCTCTAGTTAATTGCTGTCTACCTTATTCTTGCTGTATTTCTTTGTATCAGATTTGTTGAAAAGATTGACACCATCAAGAACACCTTTATCTTCCCTTATAACTTCATCATGCCTCCATATATTCATGTCTGCCACCCATTTATTGCTGTTTTTAATTTCAAAGGAGACAGGATCTCTTTTCAAAGACCAACACCTGTTCCGTGCACTGAATACCAGATCTCTGACCAAAGCACCGAGCTCTGCCACCGGATACCATGACCATTTGTTCCCCCTTTCTTTCTGATGGAGACAGGGTCTCCCCATCTTGAAAAAGCTTGTGATTGAGGCCCCTGTTTCTCCCATCTGTACCATTCTGTGTCACTGCAGAACTTTTTAAGCAAACGAGTCCTATAACTGACATCACATTTTCTTCCAACCTCAGAGAGACCATGTGATGTAGTGGGGCAAGACTGGGCTTCAGGGCTTCAGATGTCATGACAACAAGAGAATCTTAGAGTGTGGAAAATGCTGTGGAAGAAATAAACAGTGATGTAAGAGAGTAATTGGAGGAGAAGGGGTTCCTTTGTATCAATAGTCATTTGAAATGAAAATTTTATCTGAGAAGAAAGTTTCGAAATCTTGATCTCTGGGAGAATGAGGAAGTTTACATGAAGATGAGAAAGTATAAATAAAGCTTAATTATTATGAATCTCCGATTTTTAAGTGTTTTACATAATTTTGGTTATATACCATTTGGTGTATAAATGTCATTTAAAGCAAAATTTATTTCCTAATGGTCATTGTCAAATTTTAGATGTTTCATATATCTGTTCCTTCCAGTATTAAATGAAGAAAAATAACTTTGACTAGGTTATTATATGCATTTCACTGTAGTTGATTCAACAGACATGTTGAATACTTACCATATGCCAGGCACTGTGCTAGGCACTGGAGATTAAACAGAAATAAACTAAGCATAGCTCTTACCCTCAGTGAACTCAACTAAAGCAGTTTTTAGAGGTAACGTAGATAATTTAAACTTAATCATTGACTTTAAGGTAGATTCACTGTGGACATTATGTAGCAAGTTTGCTCCTCACTATTTTTGTTTACTTGTTTTGGAAATTTATTTCATTCTGCATTATTTAATTTTCTCTTATAATACACTATTTTAAACTAATCAACAACAGGATTATTTACTGTGACCATTATTAACTAATTGTAAGACTAATTAAATGATTAACATGCGTGTTAAAGCTCCTTCATATTTTTAAGAAGTTATTTTAAGAATGTATAATACTGCCTTTAAAATTACCAATCAAATTTTCATACTCTAGTGGAGTTTACATTCTGAAAAGAAAGTGAACCATAGGCATAGGAAAAAAAAAATACATGAATCAAGCTGTTAGAGTAATTACGATATAACTCAACAGTGAACGATCACTTTCAGTTGAGTTAATCATGGCAAAGCTTCATTCAGGAGTTAGAATGTGTGTTCAGTCTTAAAGGATAGGTATGAATAGGTGGAGAATAGAATGAAAGCTCATTTGGGGTTGGGTTTGGCAGGGGAGCACTGATTACAGAGGTGGGATTAAATATCAAGGTATATTTAAAGGACATGGATAAATAGGCTTGCTGGAGTGAAAGGTTTGTATCGGTAAATAGTAAAAGATAAAGCAAAGTCTTTTAATAGAATACAAGATTTGGGCTGTACCATAATAGTAATATGTTCCTATAATCCTAAATTCATTTACAGTTTAAGATTTTTTATGTAAAGGGGTTATCACAATGTACAGTTTGCAATTGTATCATGATTTTGAATAAGTCTTTATTTACACCCCTAAATATGTTCTATAGATTTTGAGGCCAGAGTCTTTACCCCTACTCAGGTTAAAATGATGTTTTGTTTTTCAGTTACTTACACGCCAAGTCAATCATCCACAGAGACCTCAAGAGTAATAGTATCCTTCCTGAAATTTGTCTGCGAAGTTTGAAAACATCCTGACTTTTTCTTCTGCATTTTGTCTTCACATTATGTAAAAACAGTTTTCATGCTAAGTTCAATATAATGTAAAAAGAATTAATGAACGGGTTTGCATGAGAGCATAGTAAAGCAGGGTACTACAGCATGCTTTTGGTGTCTGAACATTTGAGCGTTACAAAAAAAAAATCTACCAAGTCTTTCTAATAGTAGGACTCTTATGATTGCGTGCTTACATTCTGTCAGCACCATAAAATGGATAGCTATCTACTCATTTCTTTCAGTGCTCTGAGGCTGCTCTGCAGTAGTTGAGATGTAACTGAAGGTTCTAACTTAGTAACAATGAGGTGAGAAAAACATAATGTTTCTTCTTCTTCCATAAACCCAGATCAAGACCCTGTCTGCCAACCAACTTCATTCCAATGAAGAATCTTTGTAGCTTTCCCAGCAGTGCCAAAAGCATATCTGGGTCTATATTACTAAAATCTAGTGGGCAAGTTTCAGGGTTTCCCATAACATAGGTAGGAAAGCATCTCACCTCATCCTACCACATTTCAAGCCCCAAAAATCTTAAAAGCAGGTCACATAGGCCAAATAGAACCATATTTTTAAAAACATATTCATTAAGAGGAAATATGAAGTACTGTACTTTTTAAAGGAATATCAATTTTACCAAAAAAAGAAAATCATATTACAGAATTCTAGAAATTAGATCTCTTACCTAAATTTTTATAATGCTTTCTTTGCTAGGAAAATGAGATCTATTGTTTTCCTTTACTTACTACACCTCAGATATTTTTCTTCATGAAGACCTCACAGTAAAAATAGGTGATTTTGGTCTAGCCACAGTGAAATCTCGATGGAGTGGGTCCCATCAGTTTGAACAGTTGTCTGGATCCATTTTGTGGATGGTAAGAATTGAGGCTGTTTCTCCATTAATTAAATTTTTGGACCCTGAGATGTTGCTGAATTACTAAAAAATCTTTGAAGGTTTCAACTGTAGTATTTTCATAATTCCCAGTATTCACAAAAATCAACGTTGATCTTATTTTTTATGTAAATAGATTTTGATTTTTTTCTTTATCTTTAAAAAGAGTATTATGAAACCAGTTTCAGTATATTTCAAACAAAAAATATGTATTTTATAAACACTGTTTAAATTTTATGCTGAATTGTCTCTTTAAAATATTTTGTGTTCAGAATGTTCTGTGTACCCTGTTTCCAAAAGAAAAAACAAGTGTGCAATTTCAGCAGGTATGATCTGCAGCAATTATTAAGGTTTTACTAAGAGAACTCCTTTTAAGAGAGAGGCTGCTTCACAATATTATTTAAGCCTAAATTGGAAAGTTACTTCCTTTAGACTAGAAAGAACCTATAATTATGGGGCAGCTGGGAGAGGAAAGATAAAAAAAAAAAAAGAAGAATTTTAACACCATCAGCCATGTGCAGCCCTGCATAGCTTTTTCTTTATCCTATTTCTGCTTTGTGGAAAAGAAGGGAATGAAAACTTCTGTGCAATTACTTTCAGCAGGCTGTGAAAAGGGCAGGTATACGAATCATCCTCTAAGCTAACAGTTCTCAAAAGGGGCCCTAAGAGACCCTTTTGGAGGTTCCAAAGGTCATCCCCATATGAGACCAGATGTTTCTTCATATTCTTCAACCAGAATGACATATCACAATAGATCGAATGCAGAAGCAAATATGTGACCATAACTGGCTGCTCTTAAACCAGTCAAAGAGAATTGCAGTACTGTTCTTCTCACTGAACCTTTTTTGGTTTTGAAAATACACTTTTCATTAAAAATGGGTGATCTATGTTAACATCTAAAGATGGCTGTTGTTTTATTATTTATGAAATTACTAAATATTTTAACAGTTTCCCAGTTATGTTTAAATATGATAAATACCCATAAATATAATCCACATAAAAGTTCCTTGGGGTCCTCAGTAATTTTCAAAACTAAAAGAGTCCTGAGACCAAAAAGTTTGAGAACCGCTGCTCTCAGCTGAATACGGAATGTCCCCAAACTCAGTGCAATTTGAAACTTTAAATAATTGAATCTGGAAACAGAGATGCTGCAAGAGCTCTTGAAGCCACGTCTGCATAAATTCACTGAATCTGTAGCAGTCTCCAAAAGGGGAATTCCAAGATAGACATCTGAATTAGTCAAGTAAACATAAGGTTAAATTAAGCTATGATTTCTTGTAATAATAACTGGAGTGTAACACCCAGTGCTCATCACATCACGTGCCCTTCTTAATACCCATCACCCAATTTGATGAATCATTGAACATTATATCAAAAACCAATGATGTACTATACCTTGGCTAATTGAACTTAAATTAAAAAAAAATAACTGGAGTGAAGGCAAGTGACAAGGTGGAAGGGGCACATTGGACTTAGAATTAGATTTGTACTCTAGTGTTCTACTTGACTCTCAGCCTGCACTTTTCTTAACCTCCTCCACGTCTCTCCATCTTTAATATTGGTTGGACTAGTGGATTTCTAATGCCTTTTTTGTTTCTAAGATTCAGTAATTAGAGCTAGCTAGGTTTGTTTCTTTAATATATTTTCATTGTTTTAATCATTTTATAAACAAGAGGCTAATTAATCATTGTAATCTGGATCTCATGCACATTTAAGCACACATCTTGTTACAAGATAGCAGTATATCCTAGGAAGGGCCAGGCTGGCAGACACTAAGTACTGAAATTGTAAAACCTAAAAGTAAAAAGAAACAATTGATACATGTTTTAAAGGTGTGTTTATTTTTTTTTTTTTTTTTTTTTTAAAGGTGTGTTTATTTTAACTAGTGTGGGAGAAAGGCTCAGTTAAGTCTCCGGGTTTTTCCTTTTTCAAAAACCTTAGTTTATACAGTTAGCAGATTATTATACATAAAGTTTTATATTTTCTTCTAATTTATTTTTTGTTGATACCTAGGTAGATTGGTTCATCCTTTATTCCATCAAGCTGAGCTTTAATACAAGAGATTAGCCAGTAGTACACTTAACTGTTGAATAAATCCTTTTGGGTTGATACTGCCTTCAAAAACAAATATGGAGCATCCATAGACTAATAAAGAAGAGTTTGGTCAGAACTAAAGTTATGTAATTCTCTGAATTCTTGTCAACCTTGTTTTATTTATCTTAGAGGGGAAAGAAATCTTTATGAAAATTTTTACAAATTAAATCACTAAATTAATTGAGGATCAATGATGCATTTCTTGTAAATAGGTGACATACAGCTTTTCATCAAGCCATATACCAATAACAGTAGAAGTAAAACTAAATTTTAAAAAGACGTTTAGTTCTTTTTATTTATTAAATTTTACTTATTACTCTGTTACTCTCAAAATTGTGTTCTGGCTTTTAAAATTATACCTGGATCATAACCAGCCTCTCAGTATTCTAACTTGTTCATCACATCACAGTTGTATGTGGTTTATTTTGTACTGTATTACTAAAACCAGTCAGCAATAAAATGTTTGACAAAAGCAAGTAGACAAAAATCTTCTCCTTCCCCGCCCCCCCCCCACACACACACACCATCCTTCATCAGGATCTCCCACACATCTTCTGTCAGTGGTTCTCAACCTTGGTTGGACATTAAAATCATCTGGGGAGCTGTAAAAATCAGCAATGCTTGGATCCCATCCCCAGATTCTGTTGTTATATTATTGGGCTGGAATGTAGTCTGGACATTGAGAGGTTAATGAGTACACAGGTGATTGTGATTTGCAGGTGAGGCTGAGTGCCATGGCCTGCCTTGTGAGACAGTCTGACCAGTGACCACTAGTCCCACGCCCTCCAGCCATTTATGCAGTTAGTTCAGGTTTACATATCTAAGTAATGCTTTCACAGAGCTTTTACTTACACTCTGCAATTTCTCTAGTGAAACATTCTTCCAAATGAAACAATACAGAAAAATGCAAGGTGAAGAACTCTTTTAAGTTTATATTTAGCCGACCATTTATTGTATTCCATGAACACAGCCAATAAGAAATTAAGTGGTAGAATACAGTGAGTAAAATGTATAAAAATGTAGCAAATATGGTTTGGTCTATATCTTTGTCCAAGAAGCAAGAGGCCAAGATTCTTTATACTGTCTTCTAAATCAACCTCCTCTCTCTCGCTTTTGTTAATAAAGCATCCATGGCATGTTGATAATGCTTTTGGAAGCAGGGAAGGGGTTTGAGTTTGTCAGTCTTGAAGGTGCCCTGAGACGCAAACCATTGTACCAATGGGAAAACTTAAATTCTGAGGCATTTAGCGTAGTGGTTGTGCTACTCCCAAACATGTTAGGACCACAGATCTGGTATTTCTTTACTGAATCAGGAATGGGAAACGGTAACTGATTCTTGATAGGGCTAGTCCTGGGACAGATTCAGATAGCAATGACAGCATTTTGTGCAGAAAGAGGTTGGTTGATAAAATTATAAAGTCTTAGTAATACTGCCTCTTTCAGAGCTTACTGAGCATTTTTTTTCTTAATCAGTTTTATTTCTTTGCCCATTAATAAGAGAACTGATTGCATATTAGAGGGATTATTTAATAACAAAAGCATTGTTCTGGGAATTGCAATAATTTGCTTTTCAGTCTTTTTAGTTGAAGAATAAACAAGAATATTTTTTTTGTGTGTGTTCTAACAGGCACCAGAAGTGATCCGAATGCAAGATAAAAACCCATATAGCTTTCAGTCAGATGTCTATGCATTTGGGATTGTTCTATATGAATTGATGACCGGACAGTTACCTTATTCAAACATCAACAACAGGGACCAGGTAAATATTTACTGTCTCTTGGGGTTTATTTTACTATTTGTATAAAGACTCCAGTTTGCTGTAGAAGTGTTGAGTCCTGAGTAGGCATAAAGGTTGGATATCTTGATCTTTGTTACCAGTTTTGGAAACCTTTGGAGGACTCTTGGCAGTGATAGCAACATGTAAGGCCTTCCTTGAAACGTCAGTGCCAAGTGTGGTCCCGAAGTGCAGTTCCTGATGTTCTGACTAGACACTAGAGCTGCCACAGTGGAGATCGCCCACACCTCTTGACCGCACAAACCAGAAGAAAGAGCTCTGCTGCCGTGGCGTCTGGGCTTTGTGCCTTCTATTCTGTCACAGCTTGTGCTGAGCAGGCACTCAGCTCTGCGCTTCTTTATGTCCAATTCTTTTAAATTATTAAGGTTTCTCCTTTTTTAATTTTTAAAACTAGGTAAATGGAAAGACTGATATCATGCTTTCATTTTTCTATAGTGAGTCTAATAGGAGGGAATTTTTTTACTTCTTTCTTCCTAAGTTCCTGTTCTCTGTCCTTCCCCAAAGTCCCTAACAGAACCTCATGCAGCTCTTTGCCTTTTCTGTCCCAGCCACATTCAGTTCACACTGACCAAGAAAAAGGAATTGTCTTTACTGACATTATTACATTGTATACCTCAGGATTTAAAAAGAGTGTGTGTGTGTGTGTGTGTGTGTGTGTGTGTGTGTGTGGAGAGAGAGAGATTGCAGCAATTCCACAGTTAATATATTAGAAAACGATGATCGACCATATAAACTGTGGTTAAATAATATTTATATTTTTTTGCTGTAGTTACCTGGGTAATTTGTTTAAAAATGGAGATGCTGGAGTGCCTGGGTGGCTCAGTCTTTTAAGCATCTGACTCTTGATTTAGGCTCCGGTCATGATCTCAGGATCATGAGATCAAGCCCCACTTCGGGCTCCATGCTGAGCATGGAATGTGCTTGGGATTCTCTCTCTTCCTCTTCATTTGCTGCCCCCCCCCCCGCTCCCTCACATGCATGCACACACACTCTCTCTCTCTCCCCCTCTCTCAAAAAAATAAATAAATAAAAATGGAGATAACTGGAGCAGATTCTAATTCCATGGAGTAGGAGCCAAGCACTTACATTTAATAAGTTTCCCAGGTGACTTTGATTTATACCAAAGTTGAGAATCACCAATCCAAAGAAAAAAAAAGTGTGAATGTTTTATGTTTTATCATAACCTCTTAATCTAATGAAATGGTGGTGTGTTTTTTTTTAATAAAAATGAGAAATTGGACTAAAGAATTCCTTGTAGTTATAAAGATCAGATTCGTTCCTAAAGCACATCTCTTAGCTCCTCAGGGGATGGCCATACCTATGTTACTTTGCAGAATAGCTTATCTTTTGTTTTCTTACTCTAGTGCTGAAGTCTGAGAAATTGCTGTCATTTTCCCCCTCTTTATCCTTCTGTTTCACTCTCTAACCACACTAATCTTCCCTCTTCAGTGCAGCTTTTCTGCGTTGGGATTAATAACGCACTCATTTGAGCTGGGTATATTGACACTCTGTCTTCTTTCTTTTCTTGGAGCAGAAGTGCTGTGTCATCTTAGAAGAAAATAACACACAACTTTTGTCTTATTTTAAGTATATCTCAGTTACTATTACTGTATAATAAACCACCCAAAATGTAGTGGCTGAAGCAAATTCTGAAGCTGCAGTTTGGGCTGCTGTCAGTAAGGAAGGTTTATTTCTGTGTCACATGGTAGAGCCTAGGGTGTATTCATTGGGTGTTAAAGGATCCACTTCCAAAATGACTCATTCACACATCCTACAAGGTGTGGTGCTAACTGTCCACTGGAAGCTTGGTCAGGGCCAAGAGCTGGGGGCCTCAGTTCTTCTCCACATGGGCCTTTCTATGGGGACTTCTTCATAGAAAGCATGGACTTGGTTACAGCCTGGTGGCGGGCTTCTTTTTTTTTGTTTTTCTCCCGGTGGCTGGGTTCTAAGCATAATACCTCAAGAGACAAGAGATAGGAAATTTTAAGTACCAGTGTCTTATCAACACACAAATTATTTTAATAAAAAATTTTCAAAACTATGTGCAAAGCACTGTGGGATATAGAGGGATACAAAGATGAATGAAACACAGGCCGTGCTGTTAGTGGAGTTTTACCAATCTCTTGAGGCAGTGCAGGGGGTGATGAGCAGACACTGCTCCAGTAACACAGAGAGGAGTAAATGAAGGGGCGGAGATGCCGGGAGGGCTGAATGTGGATTGTAATGAAAGGAACCAGTCAGTCCCCAAATTTCAAATTGAACTACTGATTTTACTGCGTCTGCGCCACTTAAATCTTCTATACATGTATTATCCGGGTTAATTCTTCCCTTTAAGGGCGCCTGGGTGGCTCAGATGGTTAAGCGTCTGCCTTCGGCTCAGGTCATGATCCCAGGGTCCTGGGATCGAGTCCCACATCGGGCTCCCGGCTCAGCGGAGAGCCTGCTTCTCTCTCTGACCCTCTCCCCTCTCATGCT